AGGTGTTCTTATTGCATATCTAACTTAAAAAATCCAATTAACACCAAGAATGACACTGGAAAGGATTTGCAAAATGTTCCTACCAAGAAGCTCGTCTTAAAAGCTTCTTACATGAGAAAGATCAGCCAAGGAAGTACTTTCTATCCTATTAATTAAAAAAAAATTTTAAACCACTCACTATTCCTATTAGGAAAAGTAGAGAGAACAAACGTCTTAGCTGGATGCAGAGAACAAGTCCCCTCCAGCCCACAATGTTTGATACCTCCCATCATTAGCAGGATAGCTGCCCATTTCTCATCTTGATTGACAGGTTAATAAGGGACCTGGGGCTATCTTTTCAGTATGAACACACAACCTTACCAATTACTTTTAAATTATTGCTAATCTGTCAGAAAATAACAGGCATGAGGAATAAAAATATCTGAAAAAGAGAAATGTCTGGCTGAAGCTTTTACTTCCGGTGCTTTAAAAGGTTCAGTTCAGAAAACTTGCCAGAATTTATTCAATAGAATTTAGGCACTGAGGGTTTTTCTTTCTTTTCCTTTTTTTTAAAGAAAAACTTGTAGTTTATAATAGTTCATTGGTTCAATTAGGAGCGAAAAAGAAGGGAGTTTTGTAATGCAATTGTCCAGCAAAGGAAAACGCTTTAAATTGGGGGATTATGTGTGCAGACCACCTGTAGGGCATTCAGAGCCCTTTTCTATAATGCTTCAACCCATGCCTAGCTGCCTGCAGGCTGGCTAACAATGCCGGGAAAAGCTGTTTAAAAGGCTGAGCACACTTGTGCCTCTGGTCCTCACTAACTGTTACAAGTCTTCCTCTCCCTCGCTCTCTCTCCTTTTTAAAGTAAAAGTCCAACATCCCTTTAATGGAAGAACTTTAAGGCTCCGCGGTGGCCAATTGGTCTGCACCAAGAGGAGCCGGGCAGCAGGGAAAGAAACTTCAGACTACACAGCCCATTTGGAGAGGAGAAAAGATCAAAGTTTTTCAAACTCAAAAGACCAAGTTCCCTACAGATTAACCCTATTCATTTAGCTCCTCTTAAAGGAATGATGTGCTGGGCCACTGGGCAGACAGGTAAAAAGTTCAACAATTGCCGAAGCATTCTTCTGCTAATTCAACAGCCTTCTGCTCAAATAAATTAGCTTAGTCTTGACAAGAGGAACAATAGCTTTTTCTCTAGGAAAAGAAGCACATTTGATAGACACAGGCCTGGAAGGTTATTAAGATGTTAACCGGTTAGTTTAACCCACTAAGGAGCGCCTGTTCCACTACCAGGTTGTCAGGTGACTTACACTGTAAAGAGTGATCTACTGCTTAAAACATTAACCTCTACACTTTGGCAGTGTTCAGTCCCTGGAAACCCAGGCGCTTTCAAAATCACGGACGCGAGAAATGAATTTGGGGTTTTTGAAGCCTTTAGTGATATTACACAAGGTAAATAACAAGGCCTGAGTGGAATTACTGCCTCGCAAAGTTCCACTTACATACACTAAGCGTTGTTATCCATGGATCAGGAAAGAGCTACCATTAAAAACACTATCTTCTTGGAAGGTGCAAAAACTCAATTTTGATTTCAGTTCCACAACAAGGTATTTTCTTCGCTAACAACTTAAGAACTAGAGTTTCATGGGTCATTTTCTCCATGCCTAAGGTCAGCGTACAGAATGAGAAACCAGTAAATGTTCCATTTTTCCAACGTGCCCTTAACAAGTACTTTAAAGGTAACAGCTTAGAAGAGGCAGGGGGAGAGGGCAATGTTTAAATCATTTATCAAAAGTCATTTTATTGACAAAATAGAATACTTATATTTGTTCTTACAGGAGTGGCTTCTAAACTTTTTACAAAAAATGTACAGACTGTATATCTTTGGCTATGTACATATTTTACACATTTTTACAATTTAACAAATAATTATATAAATACATCCTCTAATGTGAGAAACCCGTATTTATTTGGGGTGTATAATTAAGACATTTCTTGATTGTTTATTTAAGGCATTTGCCTGGTCATGAAGAAGACCCAAACCGTGCAATCCCATTAGGTCGGAGTCATCCCTCCTCTAGGATATGTTAGGAGTAAAAGTTTACGTAGGAGAGTCGAGGGAGAAAATAGGTCCCTCAGGTGAAATCTGTAGGTCTGGCTTCAAGCTCAGGAAGTGGCAGCCAGCGAGGGCCCCAACCCTCGGGTACTGGAAACGCAGCCGAGTCCAACCTCCTCTGCCAAAAGAAATTAACGCCTGGCGGGAGGAGCTCCCCGCTTATCAATGGAGGAACGGGGGCTGGGTCTGGGAGCCTTCAATGCCAGGTGCTTTGTTCTAAGACAGTCATTTAAGTCCCAGCTAATGGATACCATTAAGAGTTCATTATCATGCTAATAGCAATCAACACGGTGAAGGGGTGGAAACCTCAGCGGGTCCACGGTCCCGGCGGAGCACTTGCTCCTCACGCAGCCTCCCCATTCCTTCCGGGTGCCTCCTCCCCTCCGCTCAGACCTGGGACAATGGCATCTGCTTTGGATACGACACGGAGCTGGCCGTGCCAGACCGCCACGTCAAACCCGTGCTGACGTCGCTGTAGAGGGAGCCCCCACCAATGCCCGCGCTCCCGCCCCCGCCGGCCCCCGCGCCCCCCGGCCCGCCGGCGCCCCCAGCCCCCGCGCCCCCCGCAGCGCCCTTGCTGGCCCAGCAGCAGCGGGTGCACAGTGCGCGCCACGACTCCAGCGTCTTGCCGGACCAGACCCACACGCCCGAGGTGATGCCCACTACCAGGCACATGAAGTACTTGAGCATGAAGACAGCGTAGTCGGGCCGGCGCGCCTGGTCCGGCTGCAGGTCCCGCAGGCACGGGCAGTTGTGCGTGGCCTCCCAGCGCGGGCGGTTGTGCTGCTCATAGAAGAGGCAGGCGACCACGACGGCGGCGGGCACGGTGTAGAGCACGGTGAAGAGACCCAGGCGGATCATGAGCTTCTCCAGCTTGTGCGTCTTGGTGGGGCCTCCCTGCTGCTTGATGACCGAGCGGATGCGGAAAAGCGACACGAAGCCAGCCAGCAGGAACATGGTACCAATGAAGAGGTAGATGACGAGCGGCGCCAGCACGAAACCGCGCAGGTTGTCGAGGCTCTGGTTGCCCACGTAGCAGATGCCCGCCACCGGGTCGCCGTCCACGGAGCTGAGCGCCAGCACGGCGATGGACTTGACGCTGGGCACAAGCCACGCGGCCAGGTGGAAGTACTGCGAGTAGCCGGCGATGGCCTCGTTGCCCCACTTCATGCCCGCTGCCAGGAACCATGTGAGCGACAGGATCACCCACCAGATGGAGCTAGCCATGCCGAAGAAGTAGACGAGCAGGAAGACCACGGTGCACAGCGCCGGGCCCGTGGTCTCGTAGCGCACGTGCTGCTCCACAGCGCCCAGCTCCTCGTACTCTCCACGCCCGCCCGGGCCGCCCGCGCCCGCACCCGCGGCACCCGCGCCCGCCGCCGCCGCCGCCGCGCTGCCTGCGCTGCCCGCGCCGCCCGTGCCGGGCGCGCCGCCGCTGCAGGCCACCTTCTCGTGGCCCGCCACCAGGCGCACCAGGTAGCCGACGGACACGAAGAGATAGCAGGCCGAGAGGAAGATGATGGGTCGCTCGGGGTACTTGAAGCGCTCCATGTCGATGAGGAAGGTAGAGACGGTGGCGAAGGTGGACACGAAGCAGAGCACAGACCACAGGCCGATCCAGAAAACGGTGAAAGCGCGCTCGTCCTGGCTGAAGAAGGGGTTGTGGCAGGGCAGCGCGCAGTTGGCGATCTGGCCGGTCTTGACGCGGTTGTAGAGCGGGTGACGCTCGCTGGACACGCTCACCATGGGCGGCCGGCACTGGCAGCCTGGCTCGCAGGGCGCTGCACCGCCACCAGGGGGCCGTGCCTTCCCGCCACCGCCGCGCGTGGGGGGAGCCACAGCCTCCCCGCCGCCACCGCCCCTGCCGCGGGCCGGGGGCCTGGCCCCTGGCGGGTGGCTGTGGCCGCTACCGGAGGGCGGCTGCTCGCCCGGGGGCGGCGGCGGCAGGCGGCGCGGCGGGCTGGGCGCGGCAGTGGTGAGGTCAGTACGGTTGTAGTCCATGCAGAGCGTGTCGGGGTTGCCCTGCTCCGGCAGCCGGTCGCAGCGCATGCGGTCCGGCCAGGCGAAGCCGTACTGGCGCATAAGGGGCGCGCAGCCTGCCTTGGCGCGCTCGCACACAGAGCGGCAGGGAGGCAGCGGCTTCTTGTAGTCCTCCAGGCAGATAGGCGTGTACATACTGCACAGGAAGAACTTGAGGTCGGGCGAGCACTGGATCTCCACTAGCGGCCAGAACTGGTGCACCTCCAAGCCCGCCTCGTCCTGTGTGTCGTGGTTGAACTGGTTGGGCATGTAGGTGTAGTTGTAGCCGATGCCCTTGCACAGCGGCACGGTGATCTCTTGGCACGTCAGGTCCTTGGCGGAGGCGGCCGCAGCACCGCTCGAGCGCTGCAACAGCGCCAAGGCTGCCAGCAACGAGGTCACTTCCAACAGGTATCCCCACTCCATGCTGCGCGCCTCGGACCTGCGCCCTCGCCCTCCAGGCGGCGCTCGGAGGGGCGCCGGGGAATCCGGCGAGAGGGCCGGAGAAGAGGAGAGCAGGGGCTCTGCTGGTGACTTGCCTCTCCCGGGAGGTCGACTGCTGATCACCCGGTGACTCCCCGGAACGCGTCCGCTCCACGCGGTTCGCAGCGGGGCAGAGGCGGGCCGTCCCGCAGTCCGCCGCTCCGGGGAGCGAAGGCTGGCCGCAGGCGTGCGCACGTTCCACAGAGAGGGTTTGCCCTGCTTCCTCCGTCCCAGCTCAGCCCTCTCGCAGCAGAGCGGCTGGCCCCCGGCTCATCGTCCCTCTCTCGCTCGCCTCTCGCCCGTGCCCGGCCACTTCGTGGGGCGTCGGCACCGGTGACTTTGCAAGCACAGAGGGCGGAGGCGCAAGTTTCCTCTTGGGCCGCGACGCGCAGTCAAGATGGCTGGGCCAGGCCGCTCCCCGCGCCGGTCAGCCTCTGCGGCCCCCTTTCTGCCCTCACGGGCTCATGCTTGCCCTCAAAGCCGCGCCCCCGCCGCCGGAGTTAGGGACCCGCCTCAGCCGAGGCCGCCGCCCTCTTTCCCCGGCGTCGGCCAGTCGTTCCGCCGCCGGGAGCGACAGACTCCGCCTCCGGTAAAAGTCCGCTGCGCGCTCCGCCCGGCGATCGGTCGAGACGTGGGCAGTCCCCTTCTCGCGACGCACGGAACCAAATCCAGACTGGAGCGCCGCAGACACCTGAGCGGTGCGGCCTGCGCCCGGCCACCGCCTCCGCCTCTGCCTCCGCCTCCTCCTCCTCCTCCTTTTCTTCCCCGGCGGGAGCAGCACCCTTCCCTCAACTTCCTTGCTCCGGCCCCACTTGCACCGCCTGCCTGGCTCATGAATATTTATACGGCGCGGACTCGGTCTCCGCCCAAGGCCGCGTGCGCCAATGGCCGGGCCAGGGCGGGGCCCACGCGCTCCGAAGGCTCAGCCTTCCTTAAGGCAGCCGGGAGCGCCCGCAGGGCTGAACGCGCGTTCTGCGGCTGGAGAGTTAGGTAACGCTGGGACAGGCCGCAGAGACGCTGGTTTTGCCACGGCTGTCCCCACGGCGCTCTGTGCGTCCGAGGTCCTGGTTCCGTTTCCCTGAGTCTGCATTGGGAAAGCGGGACGGGGTTCTGTGCAGCGCGCGCTTTTCTGGGCCCTTTCGAAACAAGTCAGGTTTCTGCCTCCCTTCCCCCGGATGTGGGTAACCTTGCTGGCGTAGGGTCCCCGCGCTCCTTCGCGAGCCGAGGCTGCGGGGAAGCACCGCTGCGGGCGAGTGGCAGGGTCGAGCACTGCAGGGAACCCGGAAAGGAGTACCCATTTTAGGGTTCTTAGAATGGTGGTTTTGAGGCTTGGAAACGGTGGAGCGGAACCTGCTCGACTCCGGGCGGCCCGGGGGACGTTCCCAGCTGCAGGGGGCGCGGGGCCCTGGGGCGCGTCCCAGGATGTCCTCCCGCTTCCTCTGAGTGACCTGGGGAGCTCAATTTCCTTACCTAGAAAGTGGGGCAATAGTAGATCTCAAAGAGGGTTCTGTGAAAGCATGCAGACAGTGCTTCCTGATGAAAAAATAATTTACTTTCCCTTCGAAAGAAAGAAGAAAAACTTATAAATGGGGGCGACCGGGAACTCTGCCACTAAATTTTCTCTTCGCTTCGTACTTTTGCAACGCGTGTGTCTATTCAGAGGTCCCAGGTTTTGCCGGAGCCTTGCTTTCCCACCGCGGGCGCAGGCTCTGAGTGGCGCCGGCGGGACCGGGCCGCCCCTAGCAGCCCCTTGGGTTGCGGCCAGCGAGCGCGGCCCCGCCGGCCCGCGACCGCCTTAAAACGGGCAGGGGCGGGGGCCGAGGGCCCGGCGGCCTGGCAGGTTCATTTACGCTTGTTAGGACGTCCCAGGGGGTTGTCTTTCTCCTAGAATGGAGTGTTTATTTTTTAATTGATGTGCTGTTTCATTTAGCGCTTGCATGGAACTCATGCTGGGGCTGTAATTACTGTAATCTCGGGAACATGCATTTCAGTTAGCCAGGAGGGTGGCAAAATACGTCCTCTCAAAATCAATCTCTCCTTCCTGTTTCTTCCTCTTTTCTTCTCTCTCTTTCTCCTCCCATTTCAAGAATTTTTGATACTTGTCAGGTTTCATAGCAGGATAGAGTAGGGCTAGAAAACCATAGTTGGCGAGGGTGTGGGTACTTAGAAACAACTGCTGTCATGAAACAAAACCAACAGCAATTTGTATATTGCTTGAGCTAATGGAGTCTCTGTCTTCCTCCTTCTGGTTTCTCCAGCTTAGTTTAGCAACTTCATTATGCACCACATTCTAAATAGACGGGCAGCCCCCTCCCTTCTCTCTCCACCGACTCCCCCGCCTCCCCCCACCCCGTTTTTTGGCAAGGTTTATAATTTTGCCAAGAATTCTAGGCATATCCGCCAGGATGTAGCTATACCCCATCGTCTTGCTCTTTTTATAAAAATTGAAGCCTAGTTAGTTTATAGTGAAAAACAACACTGCTTCTCACTTCTGGATAAACTAAACTCTATAGGAATCAGAAATTCAGTCTTGAGAAATATTAGCTAACTCAACATAAAATGGACTAACAAAATGCAAAGATACGACCTTTCCTTGGCCTTTTTATCGATTCTCCTCCCTTCCTAATAAGAAATTCCTTTTATGGTTTGTTGAATGTAGAAAGTCACCACTTTTGTTGGTACCTTCTCCAGAACCTTCAGCTGCAGAGGACAGGTCATTCGCTGAGGTGGCGTTCTGAGGTCAGTTGTGAGGAAGGCAAATCCTTAAGGACCAGCCTGGGTGCTGCATTGCCTGGCCATAGAGGGAAGGGCTAGTTTCCAAAAGCAACACATGGTGAAAAGTTTCTACTGGTTTTCTTCAGCAGGGAAATGTCAAATAGTGAAGTTCAGAATTACACTATATAAATTTACTAGAATTAGGTAAAAACAAACTGACATTTGCAAATCGAGGCTGAAAATAGTTGATTTTGGCTTTTAATCGGCATTTAAATTTTTTTCTTTTTTCTTTTGAGACAGGAAGAAAGCTTTGGTGATGTGGAATGTGGAAAGTTTTGGTAAGTATATTTAGCTCATAGAAAATAAGCAGACGAACGTTGAGAGCTTTCAAAAATCATGTTATAAACTATTTGGGGGATCTTACTAATTTGTGAGATTAAAACCATTTACATAAAAATCATTACAATTTTAATTCAATTAAGGAAATATAAGAATAACATTTAAAATTTACTATTAAATTAAATGGTGACTTGATGACCTTTGAGAGCAGGAGACTTAGGAAGAGAATTAGTGTATGAGGTTGAAAATGGTCAGCTCAAAGAAACCAGAATTATTTATCAACATTGCCAGCTAAATAATGATTTTTATCTTTTGTAAAGCAGGTTTTTCTAAGGGAGGAGAAATAGCTTTAGTAGCAACATAAATAATGTAGGGAACTTTCTAGAGGGATTTCTGAACAGATGTTCCTGAATAGTCCACAAGCATAATAATATGAACAGTTGAAGACATGACTAGCTCAGAGGAGGGCATGCTTTATAAAACATCAGATACCAAGTTAGATATTGGCAATATGTTTATGTCTCAAATTTAGGAAACTTTGGGGAAGTTATGTTTTGGTGGATTATAGTTTAAAAATCCAACATTTAAAAATCTCTTGATACCAGAGTGGGTCTGACATATACCAAGAAAATGATACCTTCAAAATTTACATGCAGAATCTTTAGTACCTAATGAAATTTCCTGGGTGTTATATTGTTTCTCCCAAAAAAACCAAACAAATTATTTCTCCTAAAAAACTTACCTTCTTTTAGGGAAACAAGTATTATATTGTTAGAGAATGCAAAGTCTGTACGGTAATTTGGGGAGAGTGGTTCTTGGTGGTGTAAAATCTGTTTTTCAAAAGGTTATGTCATGAGTCACTCACTGTAGATGGAAGGGAAGGGTGGGTTAACTGGTTGCTTCAATCTCTATTATAATTAAAATGGGTGAGATTATTTTTATATTCTTCCATGTTATCATTAAAGTCTATAAAGATCTTCCTTTTCCATTTTCTTCACCATAGAGAAAAGATCCTGTTGGAAGGAAGTACTCTTTGCCTTGTCTGCTGTAACAATGCCAAATTGGGAATGGGTGGAGATAACTGATGCAAATATATGCTACTGGCCAGGAATCATATTCTCTCTTTACATGCAGCTGCCATTTTGGAAAATTATTTAATTTTATAATATCATAAAATATGGTCTAAAAGTCAATAATTGTTCCTCTTCCCCACCCCTAGCCCCCATTCACCCTGGAGTATTGGCCAGATGCTGAAATTATACAATAGGCTGCATTATTTGGGGAACTTTCAGGGGCAATAAAGACCTAAGTCAAACTGGGTAAGCTAAGAAAGATAACTAATCTCATGTAACAGTAAATCTAGAAGCAGAAAGTCCCACCATTGGTTCATTCTGTGACTCAACAATGTTAGATCTGCAGGTCATCTTCTAGACATTTGGCTTTCCCTTGGTTACATGGGGTCTCCCACTGCTGAGCCATCACATGTCATAGGGCAGCAATCAAGGCAGCAAGAGTGGCAGGGTCTCCCCTGGTATAGCTGTCCTGTTAGAAAACTCTTTTCTGAAGGCTATCCCTTTAGGTCAAACTGGTCTCGACTTGTCACACCATTCTAGCTGCAAGGGAGGCTGTGAAAGTGAGACTATGGTGGGTGGCTTGTGTCAGGAAAGCCAGGGAGGGGAGAAGGGCTACTTAGCAGATAAACAGCAGTGAACTGCACGTTATTTGAGATTAACTTTCAAGCAACATCATTCAGCCGACACGCCTAGTCTTCCAGAGTATATTGTTCAGGGCTATGAATTAAGTATGATTTGGATCCAAGGAAATATTGGTATCAACATTTTTTTCCTTTTGAAGTTCACACAATACAATTGTCTGTACAGTTGGTGTGAAATAAATGTCAAAAAGTTTTACTATGTGTTTCATTTATAATGTGTATAAACTGCATAGACTACTCCTTGGTTTCCTTTTGTTAAGCCCTGTCCCTCCATTTTGGAGACTTTATTAAAATTGTTGACACAATTCTGGAGTTTTAGTTTTTAATTTTCTTTTAAATCTTAAGCCTTGTGACCTTAAAAAAAAGGGCCACAATTAATTATAATTAGGATAAACTATTGAATCCCATCTCTGAAAGAACCTTTCTATCAGAAAATTTCTGGTGTCGGCAAGAGTTTACTTCTGGTAATAGTGATCCATTTAAAATAGAGGTCTGAAACAATAATGAAATTTGCATTAGCAGTACAATAATAATTATTAGGGTACTAAAGGCATGGAGGTGGTGGAGATGCCAATGGCACTTCTTTCTATTTTATGTTTGTTTTTGAACAGATTGAAGTAAAGTGATGTCATTTATATTTGAGAAGTGACAGCTTTTGATTATTTTCCTGGCACAAGTCTTGCTTGCTCTTAGAAGCAAATGTACTTCTGTAGAATTAATCTTACAATTTATAAAAAGCATAATTTATAGTAAAATGATTTATAGAGATAAAATTAAAAAATTGGTGCATTAAAGTGTTGAGTTTATTGAAGAGTATCACAACATTAATATGAATTTCTGGTATGCTTTCTCAAAACACAGTCCATCAGGGTTTAGTCTGAAAAATCCTACTATAAATGTGCTCAAAATGTACTGAAATAAAGCAGAATATAGAACTATATGGTATGAACCCCAATTATATTATTATATATGCATAGAAAAAAGATTAGAAGGAAGTTCATCAAAATGCTACCTACAGTTGTGTTTGAATTGGGTTAACTAGGAGTAATTTTTCCTTTCTTTTTTAAAATAATGATCTGAATTTTTTATTTCAAAAAAATTATCTGCAAACAACACTAGACTTAGCATTTTTTATGCCTTATCTTGTGCTGTTCTTCATTTAATGTATTTTGTCTTTTCTTCTTGTATGGATCAAAATTACCAAAGAGGAAGGACTGTGTCTCAGCTATTTCTTTTTCCGCACAGAGATTCTATTCCATTTATGACCATACGCCATCAAAATATGTTTTAGCTGATTCACAGGTTGACTTACTGTGCTTGCCTTTGTTTGTATTCTCTAGTCCCTGTGTTCCAGAGCTGTCCTGCTCGAGACTGTGCGTTTGAATGGGATGATGGGGAGGAAAGAGGGAGGAAGTTCATCAGTGGAGGACCACAGAACTGGCATTAGGAGTGAACAAGAGGTGGTGCCAGTCTTGTCTGCCTAGCTTCTCGTGTGGGCAGGTAACCTATAGCCTCTCGGAGCTTCACCTCCTCTTGCTTCCAGTACGGAACGGCTCCTATGAGTCCCTCATAGGTCGTGAGGATGCTAGAAGGCACCAAGCAAAATGTCTGACTTTGATACATGAATTGAGCTTCATAAGTTTATTCTTAATGTACCAAGTTATAGGAAGTATATCTTTGACCACAAAAATGACCACTGAGTGAAGTTGTCCTGATCTTTAACTTAAACCTTTAAAAAATGGTACTAAGATCTCTTTTACACCTCATTCATAAATTTAATAAATATTTATTGAGAGCCAATTGTTCTGGCTGCTATTGATGCATTGCAGTGACCCCAAAATCTGTGGCCTTAAACAACCATTTTATTTTTTATTTTTTTGAAGGCATTTCTCAAAGGCATTTATTTATTTATTTATTTATTTATGCATTTTAAAAATTAAGGTATCATTGATATACACTCTTATGAAGGTTTCACAAGAAAAACAATGTGGTTATTACATTCACCCTTATTATCAAGTTCCCCCGATACCCCATTGCAGGCACTGTCCATCAGTGTAGTAAGATGCCACAGAGTTCCTATTTATCTTCTCTGAGCTATACTGTCTTCCCCGTGACCCCACACACACCATGTGCACCAATCATGATACCCCACAAACCCATTCTCCCTTCATCCCCACTTGCCCGCCCCCATCCCTCCCCTTTGGTAACCGCTAGTCACTTCTTGGAGACTGTGAGTCTGCTGCTATTTTGTTCCTTCAGTTTTGCTTCATTGTTATACTCCACAAATGAGGGAAATCATTTGCTATTTGTCTTTCCCTGCCTGACTTATTTCACTGAGGATAATACCCTCTAACTCCATCCATGTTCTTGCAAATGGCAGGATTTCTTTCTTTCTTATGGCTGAATAATATTCCATTGTGTATATGTACCATATCTTCTTTACCCATTCACCTATGATGGACAATTAGGTTACTTCCATATCTTGGCCATTGTAAATAATGCTGTGATAAACATAGGGGTGCATATATCTTTCTGAATCTAAGAATTTGTTATCTTTGGGTAAATTCCAAGGAGTGAAATTCCTAGGTCAAATGGTATTTGTATTTTTAGTTTTTTGAAGAACTTCCATATTGCTTTCCACAATGACTGAACTAGTTTACATTCCCACCAGCAGCATAGGAGGGTTCCCCTTTCACTGCATCCTCGCCAGCACTTATTGTTCATTGTCTTTTCAATGTTGGAAATCCTGACTGGTGTGAGGTGATATCTCATTGTATTTTAATTTGCATTTCCCTGATAATTAGCGATGTGGAGCATCTTTTCATGTGCCTGTTGGCCATCTGAATTTATTCTTTGGAGGAGTATCCGTTCATATTCTCCACCCATTTTTTAATAGGGTTATTTGCTTTATGGGTGTTGAGACATGTGAGTTATTTGTATATTTTGGATGTTAACCCCTTGTTGGGTATGTCATTTACAAACATATTCTCCCATACTGTAGGATGCTCTTTTGTTCTGCTGATGGTGTCCTTTGCTGTACAGAAGCTTTTTAGCTTGATGTAGTTCCATCTGTTCATTTTTGATTTTGTTTCCCTTGCCTGAGGAGATGTGTCCAGGAAAAAATTGCTCATGTTTATATTCAGGAGATTTTTGCCTATGTTTTCTTCTAAGAGTTTTTTGGTTTCATGACTTACATTCAGGTCTTGGATCCATTTTGAGTTTACTTTTGTGTATGGGGTTAGACAATAATCCAGTTTCATTTTCTTGCATGTAGCTGTCCAGTTTTGCCAACACCAGCTGTTGAACAGGCTGTCATTCCCCAACTGTATATTCATGGCTCCTTTATCATATGTTAATTGACCATATATGCTTGGGTTTATATCTGGACTCTCTAGTATATCTGGGCTCTCTAGTTTGTTCCATTGGTCTATGGGTCTGTTCTTGTGCCAGTACCAAATTGTGTTGATTACCGTGGCTTTGAGTTAGAGCTTGAAGTCGGGGAGCATAATCCCCCCTGCTTTATTCTTCCTTCTCAGGATTGCTTTCGCTATTTGGGGTCTTTTGTGATTCCATATGAATTTTAGAATTATTTGCTCTAGTTCGTTGAAGAATGCTGTTGGTATTTTGATAGGGATTGTATTGAATCTGTAGATTGCTTCAGGCAGGATGGCCATTTTGACAATATTAATTCTTCCTATCCATGAGCACGGGCTGTATTTCCATTTAGTGGTATCTTCTTTAATTTCTCTCATGAGTGTCTTGTAGTTTTCATAGTATAAGTCTTTTACTTCCTTGGTTAGGTTTATTCCTGGTATTTTATTCTTTTTGATGCAATTGTGAATGGAATTGTTTTCCTGATTTCTCTTTCTGCTAGTTCATTGTTAGTGTATAGGAATGAAGCAGATTTTTGTGTATTAATGGAATATCCTGCAACTTTGCAGAATTCAGATATTAGATCTAATGGTTTTCGAGTGTATTCTTTAGTTTTTTTAATGTATAATATCATGTCATCTGCAAACAGACACAGTTTAACTTCTTTCTTGCCAATCTGGATGCCTTTTATTTCTTTGTGTTGTCTGATTGCTGTGGCAAGGACCTCCAGAACTATGTTGAATAAAAGTGGGAGAGTGGGCGTCCTTTTCTTGTTCCTGATCTTAAAGGAAAGACTTTCAGCTTCTCGCTGTTAAGTATGATGTTGGTTGTGGGTTTGTCATATATGGCCCTTATTATGTTGAGGTACTTGCCCTCTATACCCATTTTGTTGAGAGTTTTTATCATGAATGGATGTTGAATCTTGTCAAATGTTTTTTCAGCATCTATGGAGATAATCATGTGGTTTTTGTCCTTCTTTTTGTTGATGTGGTGGATGATGTTGATGGATTTTTGAATGTTGTACCATCCTTGCATCCCTGGAATAAATCCTACTTGATCATGATGGTTGATCTTTTTGATGTATTTTTGAATTTGGTTTGCTAATAATTTGTTGAGTATTTTTGCATCTATGTTCATCAGGGATATTGGTCTGTAATTTTCTTTTTTTGTGGTGTCTTTGCCTGGTTTTGGTATTAGAGTGATGCTGGCTGCTTAGAATGAATTTGGAAGTATTCCCTCTTCTTCTACTCTTTGGAAAACTTTAAGGAGGATGGGTATTAGGTCTTCACTAAATGTTTAATAAAATTCCACGGTGAAGCCATCTGGTCCAGGGGTTTTATTCTTAGGTAGATTTTTGATTACCAGTTCAATTTCATTGCTGGTAATTGGTCTGTCCAGATTTTATGTTTCTTTCTTGGTCAGCCTTGGAAGGCTGTATTTTTCTAGAAAGTTGTCTGTTTTTTCTATGTTATCCAGTTTGTTAGCATATAATTTTTCATAGTATTCTCTAATAATTCTTTGTATTTCTGTGGTGTACATTGTGATTTTTCCTTTCTCATTTCTGATTCTGTTTATGTGTGTAGACTCTCTTTTTTTCTTGATAATCTGGCTAGGGGTTTATCTATTTTGTTTATTTTCTCAAAGAACCAGCTCTTGCTTTCATTGATTCTTTCTATTGTTTTATCCTTCTCAATTTTATTTATTTCTGCTCTAATCTTTATTATGTCTCTCCTTCTACTGACTTTGGGCCTCATTTGTTCTTCTTTTTCTAGTTTTGTTATTTGTGACTTTAGACTGCTCATATGGGATTGTTCTTCTTTCCTGAGATAGGCCTGTATTGAAATATACTTTCCTCTTAGCATGGACTTTGCTGTGTCCCACAGATTTTGCGTTGTTGGATTGTTGTTGTCATTTGTCTCCATATATTGCTTGATCTCTGTTTTTATTTGGTCATTGATCT